CAGAAAGAGAAAGACAAACAGTGCATGATTTCACTCATATGTGGACGATAAACCAACACATGGACAAATAGAACTGTTTGGTGGTTACCAGGGGCTGGGGGGTCGGGGGTAAGCACAAGGGGTGGAAGGATGCACTTATATGGTGACTGACAAACAATAATGTACAACAAAAATTTCACACACACACAAAAAAAAAGAACCCTAGAAATCTTGGTGATGGAGGTAAAGGAGGGGCTCATGACATTATTTTGGTTACATTACATATGATTTTTTAAAAAGGTTCCTGGAAATCCAAGAAACAAGAACCCAAAATGAAGATCCAAATAAAATAGAACTGAAACAGTACCAGTAGGGCTTCCTTGTATTTCTGTGCCAGATGTTGATTACATTTCTGCAGAAAGCTGGCTATTTGCCAGAATCACGGTTATTCTGGAACACATATGCCTGCCTGAAATCCTAAAAAGACAGCATACTGCTAACTTGTAGGACTGTAAAGCTTAAGGCAAATTTTGCTGTTACAAGGGAAAGAGCTCAAATACTGACCTCGTATCTCCCATGAAGAACACAGCCCAACAGCGAGAGTGGGCCCATAGATAAGTTATCCTATAAAAAGCCTTTATTTAAGATTTATTTGAAAGAGAAATGAGGTACTGAGATACACCATACTAGATGATATGATGTCTATTTTTAGCTTTAACTCTTGGCCATACAAAGTAGAATAAAAGTTTAATAAAACGTAAGAGAAATGCAATGGTCATTCAATTTAACAACACGTTATGCAAGCTTATCTAACTAGGTTGACTAGTACAAACCTGGAAGGAGAAATCTAGACAAAGAGAATTGCCCCTAACAGAAAGCCTAAAAAGAAGTCTTGATAAATAAAGGGACAATAACAAATGAAAAATATTGAGGCAGTACTTTTAAGTGCTTCGTGTTACTAGTCCAAAGAATCAAAATTATTTCAATTTACCATAGTAAAACAGAAAAAGTTAAAAAGGAGACGAGCTAGAGAGCACTTTTACAGAATTCCTATAAGTAAAAAAATAAGGTTAATCCTTTGATATTCAATCTGAGAAAATATTTGGCCTGCATTCTTACATGCATTAACTCTATTCCTGCTCCCATTTCTCCAACAAGAGTTCCAAGTCAACAAACAAAACACTTGTTCCCTAGCAACTACCTTCTTTAAGCCCTGCTCTCTGTCAACTTTTTTGTAGAGAAATCAATCTGAAAACTGTCAGTTCTTCACCAGACAACCCTAACTCCTCCACAAACTGACAAGCTGAATGAGAGGAAGGGACTAACCGCAGAACAGGTGTGGATGTGGTAAGTACAATTTATTAGAGAAGAACAGCATTCAGTTATAACAAGATCCTTCCTTCAACCATTAAATCCTCTGTCTTGCAACTGATAAAGCCCCCAAACTACCCTCAAATCCTGGGAAACTTACTTTACTAGGACAAACATTTGTACAGTTTCATAGAAACTAGCCATATGAAACATTTCATATGACTAGACATAGTTTTGTATCACCTTTAAATATAAGATAAAGAATTGTTTCTTTCTCTCTTTTTTTTTTGTGAGGAAGATTAGCCCTGAGTTAACATCCGATGCCAATCCTCCTCTTTTTGCTGAGGAAGATTGGCCCTGGGCTAACATCCGTGCCCATCTTCCTCTACTTTTTTTTATATGGGATGCTGCCACAGCATAGCTTGACAAGCGGTGCGTCAGTGTGCGCCCAGGATCCAAACCTGGAACCCAGGCCACTGCAGCGGAGCGCGTGCACTTAACCGCTACGTCACTGGGCACCAGAATTGTTTCTTCTAAAATCATTAATCCTCAAAAATATTTTTAAAAATATATAAATATTTTAAAATATTTTTTAAATAGTTAATTCTCTTTGTTTTAATAGGATGCTATTTTCAATCACTAGTTTAGTTATTCATAAGATTAGTTCTGACATAACCAATTGAACTCTGCTTCAAATTTGACCACATGATGTGCTTTCCATGTTGGACAGCTTTTTAAGGCAATGATTAGAAGATCAGATTTGGTTCTATACTACTAAGTATATTAATAAATACCTTACATTTTAAAAATGGATCAGTCAAGTTCAAGAAAAAGAAAATAAAACTTTCAAATGATTTTATCTTTTAAAACAGCACTGTGAAAGGTACAAAGTTCACAGAAATTACTAGTCTTTCAGTGATTTTCTTTCTTCCAGCTGTTTTTTAACTAGTCTTTGATTCATCATTGCTAACACTATAGCTAGCATCATCTGACTATACAGTGTTACGTAGTATTACAGTGATTTACCACTGTAATACTACAGTTGAAGGAAAATGACTATGTGGGATCATATGCAAGGGAAAAAAACAACATTAGTATCTTTGTGAATGCTTACAACTATGTCCTGTGAAAAGGTATGTGAGGGTTGAGAGCACCAAAACATAATTACCACAAACACAGATTCTACTCACCAGTTTGATAGCTACATATTCATTGGTGTAGAGATTTTTACCTAGGGGAAAAGCAGAATGTATATGTTTTAGTGACATTTATTCTGGGAAATGCAAAGCAAAATCTTAGCTTACAGGGTCATGAGAAAGATCACATTCCCAATGCCGTTCACATATATGAAACATGATGTATAAGCGAAAAGCTAAACAGAGATAATGAGACCCAGCAAGACAAGAACAAAAACAGCTTGAGAATTTGGAAATTTAAATTAGATGTGAGAATGTTTTTAAAAAAAGAAAACAAATCTCTTTCTCTTTCACACACACAGTTTTGTTATTTAATATTTCCAAACTATTAAGCCATGAGACAAACCAAGAGGAAGAAATGCCAGAATTTCAAAGATACAGAGATTTTAACTCTTGGCACAATAAACACAAACCCTCACTTTTCTAACTCACTGACAAACGGGGATTTTATATTTTTTGTCATGATATTCAGTATCAACTTTAGTTGGCATAAAGGACAGTGTGAAACAAAACTAATTACTGTCTTATTCTCCTTTTGGAAAATTCATCTACTGTCTGTAAGTATGACTCTCAAAGCTGTTCTGACTCTTCACCAGAACTCTAACTCTCTATCTTTAACTATGGGCAAGAAACAGCTCTCTCCCTGGACAACACTTAAACATCTCAAAGATCTTCCTAAAATAGTAATGATTTTCCTCTCAACTTCTCTACTTGTATAAATGCAATCAATATTCTCCTAGACATCTAGAGTAAAAATTTGGAGTATGAGGGTGAGAGCAACAACTATCACTTAGTGAGCCCATATTACATGCTGGCTACTTAGCTACCTTCACCTCCCCACCCCTAGAGTCTTAAAGGCTAATTTTAATTCCTCCTGAGTGTTTAGTATATACCATGTAGTTTAGCCACTGCGCTGGACTTCACATTGCTTCTTATATATTTGTTCTATCTTAAACAGCTAGACTATAAATATCTTGAGGGTAGAGATTTTATCTAATAGTTCTCTTAATGCCCTCTGGTGCTTAAGACCAAGTTCTGCACATCTTCGACACCTAAAACCTTGACTGATTAAAAGTTATTGGTATCGGGCCGGCCCTGTGGCTTAGCGGTTAAGTGCGCGCGCTCCGCTGCTGGCGGCCCGGGTTAGGATCCCGGGCGTGCACCGACGCACCGCTTCTCCGGTCATGCTGAGGCCGCGTCCCACATACAGCAACTAGAAGGCTGTGCAACTATGACATACAACTATCTACTGGGGCTTTGGGGGGGGGGGAGTTATTGGTATGTATAGTATGATACTTTTTAAAAAATAGATATAGGTAAATGTTATATTTATACATATATGTACACACACATACATACGTACATAGATGAATATATATGCACGGAAAAGGATACAGAGAGATGTATATTAAGGTATTAAAATGATTGTTTCTTAGTATTTTATGAGTTTTATATAATATAGATTGTTTTTATAATTAAAAAAACCTTCATCTAGGGAACAAAAAGCTGCTCGCAATGTAAGTGCTTATGTTACCAAGCTAGAGACAACAGACAGCCCTTTGCAAACCACACCATCATACTTTTACTATCACTATCAGGTTGCCAAGTACCTTTATGTGTCAAAGTGTACACTAATTTAGGAATAACTTTTGTCTGCAAATTACATAATAAAGAGGACTCACAGGTTGCCAGATAAACACCTAATAAACCATTATAAGATGAACAACTTCTTTTTTAAAGGAGAAAAAGCAGAAAATAGGCATTTTTTCTATATATAATTGCATTAAGCTTCTAAAAGTTAATTTGTGTTTCTGATTAATGCTCCCACCAAAAAAATTTTTTTTAAATATATTTGATAAAATTGTGAAAAGGATATTAATAACTGGGAGAGGAATAGATAGGCAGTAATAGCCAATTCCCAGGCAGATTAAAACTCCAATTTGGCCACAGACTTCCACACCAGAAATGATGTTGCATAAAGATTTTTCAGGGGAGCCCTCCCTAGCACTGTGTAAGTAGTTATTGTGACCTAAAACCAATTTTAGCATAGGGCTGACCCTACGAACTTAGTATCACTTAGACGAAAATGGTCAAGTTTAAAATTGTAAATGTGCTTAGGGGTATTCCTGAATTGGACATTCTTCCCAGCTCCACACCCCATTTTAGCAATAAGAATTACTGCGAGGTAGGGAAGTAGACACCAAAATTCACCCCTTATTCATTCACAGTACAGCATACTTTCACTATTAAAGACTTATGCTTAAAGTAACAGATCTTCAATTCAATAGACATAACATTTAAAGTGAAGTGAGGTGCTGGTTAAGCGTAAGCAGAGTAATAAAACTGGATTCTGATCTGTGAGCAAGAAAAGAGAAAAGGCAATTACAGTAGTCTCAAGAAGGAAATTCTTTTCTTTCTTTCTCCCCCTGCCTTTTCCCCCAGAGCCTTAAAAAAATAGTAGGATGTTAACAGCTGAAGAGGAGGGAAAGGCATTTCAGGGAGAAAGAACTGCACGAGCAACAAACAGAAAACGAGAAAGTAGATAGTACAGGCTGAGACGGTGGATGGTCTGGGGGTAGATGGACCATGAGGATAAGGAAGGGGTAGGGATGGGCAAGAAGTAGTTAGGGCAGAAAAAGAGACTAGAAAAGTAAGGTGGAGTCCATATTAGGAAAGTCCTCAATGGCATCTTAAAGTTTAAAATGAAAGGTTTTTGAGTAGGGTACTGACATGATCAGATCTGTGATTTTGAATAACCATTTGTGACGAAGTATAAAAGATTAACTAGAAAAATAAGAGACCAGAGATAGTGGAGGCATTTTAATATTAATATCCATCATATGCAGATATCACATATCTAAGATGAATAACACTCAGTTCTCATCTTTCAGAGACTGTATTTTAGCTCTTCACACAGGGTCTTGCATATGGTGGCTCAAAAGTCTATTAAATAAATCACATAATATGATGAACGTTAGAAGAGAAATAAGAACAAGTCAGTAGAAGAGCTTGGATGAGGGAGGGTAAAGCATTTGGGCACAAGTGGCACTTGAGATGAGCCTTGAAGGACGAAGAGATGACAGAATAAAGGGCATTTCTTGTAAAAAATACTAATTTGAACAGTGAGGTGGAGACATGATAGAAAACGCCCAGAATCTGATATACTGTGAGTAGACCAATACAAACAGAACACAAGGTATATGGGGAGAAATGGTGAGAAGTAAAGCCAGAAAGATCCAATAGGGACAGGGTGTGAATAATCTTGAATGCCAGCTTCTTACTCTGAGGTATGCACAACCAAGGGTACATGGAGGGGTGCTAGGGCATAAGCTATAGGACAAATAAGACACACCTTTCCTGGATTCTCACTTTTCTTTGAAGATTTGGGGAAAATCTTTTTTACAGTAAAACAAAGTTACTATATTACAGAAATAGCACATAGATTTCTTTTGAAGAAAAAATTTAAGAGTTCAAAGAAATCCCAGGCACTTAGGAATCTGCTTCTTCTAGAGTCTGAGGAGTCTCACCAATCAGTGTGTAACCTTTTTCTCATTTACCCTGTGTTCAGCCAGGCAGCCCAGTTTTCACAGAGCAGTTCACTTTCAACAGTGTGAACCTTCCATCTCCTGTGATGGTGGGAAAGGGTAGCTGCCAGGTGATGCTAGCGAGGGAGGGGATTTAGCGACCTAACTGCTTCATATATAGACTTGCAACTAAGCTTCCTGTTTTTAGTTCCTTCTGCATCCCAACTTTCTGAAGTTCCTAGTGTCTCCAACTCTCAAGACTATCTGGTGCATTTTATGTAACAAACTGGCCTATGCCTTCAATCATTCAGCTTTCTCTGGACTGTTAAGTCAGTTACCTCTTAACTATCTGCCTTCCAGCTTCCAAAATTTTGTTAACATTTCTCATCTGTTTTCATCTTATCTCCCATTTTTTTGGTCCCTTGTGGTTTTACGCCTTTAAAAAAAATTTCTTTTCTAAACATACTCATAAAACTGAGAAAGCATCCAGTTCCACGAAGTTCCACATATATTATAATTAGCTATGCCTACATCTTTTTGACCTCCAGTAGGTAGTGAATTTGCTGAGGACAAGAAGAATGTTTACCTGATCTTTTATCCCTAGCAACAAACATAGTATCTGATATATAGCAGGTAACAGCACTTGCTGAAGTGAACCCAATTGACTCGATCTTTAGAGAAAATTAATCTAAGAAAGTTCCAGGACAATAAAAAAAGAAGGCTAGTTTAGAATCAGATTATGGATAATCCTAAATGCAAATACAGGAGTTTTGACTTCATTATTCAGCTTGCTGTGAAACCACCAAAGGTCTTGTGCTAAGAAAAAAAGTATAATGATGGAAGTTGTATTTTAAAAATATTCACTTGGCCCCAGTGTATAAAATAAAAGAGAGGAGAATACCCAGAAAGAAGATAAATAGGAAGTTTTTATAGCAGAGCATTTAAAGAAGAACATCTACCACACACATGGTGGTTTTGAGGATTACACGAGTAAGAATATGTGAAAGTACTTTGTAAACTGCAAGATGCTAAATAAATCTAATTTTTATTACTTCTGTTATTACTGCAGGAATGAGGCAATAATTCCCAGAAGAAAATGACTTAAAAAAATAGAGTTTATAATTAAGGCATTTCAAAGAAAAAACTAACAACCTTTATATTACATGTAAACATGAGGGATAAGGAAAAGAAAAGCATCAAAAATGATGCTCTTAATTAGTGGAGAACATAAAGAAAATCAGGAGAGTAGGCAATGATCATTCCACTCTATCATGAAGCCTTCCTCCAAGTTCTGACTAAACCTAAAAGTAATAGACAAATTATGAAATGCCTCTCACCTTCAATTTTCATACCTGAGTAAAAGTATATAATCACAGAAGTATAATAAATCAGACAGCCTAAGTAACACCAAACATGATGGCTGGTAAATCATAAAATGCTAGCTTGCTTGTGTTTGCTTACTTTCTCTGGGGGCACCAAAAGAACTGAACACATGTCACTCTCTTACAAAG